GATTCTTAGTAAACTATGGATGTAATATGCATATTTGATAATATATTGTCTAAACAATGATAATTTGATTCTTATAAGAAATTATTTGCTTTAAAAACATTACAACGATAAAGAATGGTTAAACTATTAATTTATATTTTATCCAAAGACTTGTAATCTCCTATTTGTGAAAATGCCCAATTTCGTTTTGTCAGAGCATGTTTGGCAAAATTTTTGTTGATTATACGTTGTGAGCGTTATGAAATATGAGAATAATAAGCCATCAAAACTAAATATAAAGATTGTAAATCCTTCAAAATGTGCATATAAAAATGAAACTTAACCGACTCGGGAACTATTGTAAAAATCACCAAACATGAACAAACTAGACGGCTTTAAAGCACTCAAAATCCAAATAAAAGGTTAATTTACAAAATAAAGTAATAATAATAAGAAAATAGAGAGCATTTTTAAAATATTATTTTTGAAGTTTGGAGATCTTTTGCGATCCTTGCTCTGCTTTTACCGTAGAACATATTTAGAGCAAAACCAAGACATTCCTCCTTCGTAGAAGGGGGGTGGTCTAAATTAAATTAAAATATAAATGAATAATGATATCATTTTTGATAATTCCATCTATATCTCCAATATATAACGATTCAAATGGAATCTACCGTCAACAATGACCGATGAATAATCAATTATTATCGACAACATTGTTGGCAACATCATCGTTAGTAGTAATCAATGATATTGGGATCAATAATTTTGTCTAACACAGCAATCAATATTGATTTCAATCAAATTACCATCGTACTGTTGGTGATCATCGATTAAATTTCCTTCGATGATTGTTTGCTCCTTAATTTTTTTTTTTAATATTCTAAGAAATACCCTCTTGTGACCCTCAAGTTGCTTGAGCTCTCTACACTGATAAGTGTGAATTGAGCTCATGAAAATCACATACGTGTTTTGAAAGTGAAACAAAAATTTTATAACATATTTCATTCTCTTGACGCGATATTTTATGCTAAATTCGAAAGCGGGGTTTGTGTGACGTTGCTAAAAGTTTATGGATTCATAATATGTGTGATTAAAATGTGGATAAAAATTGTTGGTATAATGAAATGTATGATTAAAAATAAAGTTCACCAACTTTTTAGCAAATAAAAATTTTACAAAACAAGCCTATAACAAAATCGGAACAGTTTCTTTGTGTGATTTGAAAATGATCGAAATCAACTGCATCGACAACTGTAATTTTGAAAACGATCAAAATCAATTGCATCGATAACCAGAATTTCAATATCGAGAAAGAAGTGATGTTTATGTCCCTGAGGATTAGACTCGCGGCGGAGTTGCTTGGCAATAACATTTTCCACGTTCCATTTCCAACACCATGTCTCGCTTCATCGAGTACATAAAGCTTCATGTTGATGTAGATCGGAATCTGGACTCCGCTGATCAAGATTTCAATGTGTTGGCTGAATTTGATTAATTTAATCAGCTCAAATATGAAAATTAGTTGGTCATCGTATCATATTTCCACTCTTATTTTGAAAAAAATTTGAATTTAACATTAGTTTACTCGGGCTCTTATTGCGCGATTATTATTAGTTCTTTTTTTTTTGTCTTGCAATTATTTTTTCAATATGAGTCAATTTTACGAATACTATCGTTCAAATGACTTCCGTCAATGATAAAAGCACTGTTGACATACAAAAATAAAGCTCAATTAAATGAGGCTCAATGATTAAGTCAGACCCAATAATGTGGTCCAAGAAATGGAGTTCAGTTAGGGAAATTGAGGAATGATCCCAAATAAGACCATTATAAAATATAATGACAGCCCACGAGCAGAGGACTATCATTGCCCAAGCCTGCAGAACGTCCAGAATCTGAGCGAATGAAGTACCCTATTATCGCTCAGAACGACGGTCTCACTCTCGCCCAAGCCTTCGAGACGCTTAAGATCGAATGAAGATAGCGTTTTGTTCAGTTATTGAAGCGGTTATTAAGCAACATTATCACACCCCCACGATTCAAGAATCTCGGTTACAAGCGGTTAAACAACAAGAATAATAACAACAGTTGCTAACGGCAGTTTCTGACAAGTCAGTCATCACGAAAAAAGTTGATAGTTATAGAGCGCCAGTAATTTCCAAGCAGTTCTACAAGAGAAAATCGGCAAATGAGTATAAAAAAGAAAAGAAAACATAGAAAGAAGGATCCCGAATCAAACACTCTCAATAGAGAATATGTAATTTCGATTTATTTACTTTCTATTTGCAAAATTTCAATTTACTTCGTGTGCTTGTGCTCCTTGGAAGCGTTTTGCTTCTTTCCAATTGTAATTTTCATAAATAAAGCACCCATTTTTGGAATTTTGTTTCAAGAGATTTGTTCATTACACAATCGTCTGAACCTTTCTTTTAATTATTAGCGATAATCCACGCGAAACAAGCACCATCAGAGATTATGACAACATCACTAGCGAAATCACCGTTGTTAATAGCTAATTATGATGAATGGGTGATCGTCGATGATAATTATGACATGACACACCAATCAATAATGATTTCAAATTGTATTATCACTCGACTATATTTTTGTCAACAATCATTTGCTCCTTAATTTTTTTTTTTTTTTATTAGTGTTAAGACAGACTTATTAGAGACCTCAAATTGATTGACCTCTCTACAGGTGAGAAGTGTGTCGAGGGTACATTTAAATAAATAAGTTCATCATTATGAATATGTGTAACGGAATTTCTTGTTTTTAACGGGAAAACTAACGGAATTTGTTGTTTTAATGGATTATGTAACAGAATTTCTTGTTTTAAACGGACAGCTGCAC